GAGAAGAAACAGCACCAAATAATATTCATGAGTGACTCCAACGGGAAATATGTGGACATGAAGCGTCTTTTCCCAAACAAAAACTCAACAAAAGTCTGGACTCCAACCATATCAAAAGCCATTGATCAGCTATCAAGCATGGATCGAGAAGGAGTTCAGCACATCATCATTCATACCGGAACCAATAATCTCACTGAAAGAGACAGAAACATACCTGAAGCACTCACAAACAAACAGCCATGAGAGCCAGCAGGAGATTCCCCAAAGCTACAATCACCATCTCCACCTTACTACCACGACTGGACACACCACAACACGCGATCAACAACATCAATGCACACATCTACAGACTGTGTACACAGGTACCAAATGTTCAAGTAGTACTTCATGCACACCTGTACGATCGACTCCATCTCAACCAAAAAGGAGTGAAACTATTTGTAAAAAACATTAAAGACACAGTTCTATGCCGGAACAGACCTACAGTCCATTCCAGACTGGGACGCCCAACTGAACAGCTCTACTCATCCCAGAACCTTCACCCCAGCAGAGCAGCCAGAGACCCCAGAGAGGTTTTCAGTGCCTCCACCCCCACTCCACTGCACACCCCACATCACCAGCCTCTTCAAATCCAGAACAACTGGCCACCACAGCCTCAGACCACCCCTCATTCAGCACCACAGCCTGAGACTTACGCTGCTATAGTGGCCCGAGGAACTCCACCTGCACCCACCCAGCTACAGTCCAGTCAGATAAGAGACTTTATCACCCTGCTCTGTCACAAACTACTTAACTAGTTCTACTTACTAGTGTTTTACTTATATATGTGTATATATGTATGTATATGTATATATATATATGTATATATGTGTGTATGTGTATGTATATATATATGTATATGTACATATATGTATCTTTTTCATTTAAATTCAGATACATAAGTCATTACTATTAATTCACTTGGGATTATTCGAAAAACAGTGATTAATTCATCATATGGTTAGGTTATAGATTAGATACCTCTTTGTGAAATACCTGTAATTGACTGACAATGGCTTCTTTTTCAGTTAGTTGTTGGAATATTCAAGGTTCATTCTCATCAACATTTGGTTCAAAATTGACAAATCCAGATTTTGTAAATAGTGTATATAATAGAGATTTAATCATCTTACAAGAAACATGGGATAACCACATCAATTCTCTCTGCCCAAACCATTACATAGAATTACACGTACCTCCTACAAAGCACAATCATATCAAAACTGGTAGAAACTCTGGTGGTATACTTGTGTGGTATAAAGAAGAATACAGATCATTTATAACCCCAATAAAAAAAGGTAAAAACCATCTATGGGTCAAAATTAACATGAATCTGTTAGAAACTGACAGAGATGTCTATTTATGTGCAATTAATATACCTCCACCAAATTCTCCTTATTATTTAGAAGACACCTTTGAAAACCTTCAAAAGGAAATAAGCCATTTTCAGAACTTAGGCTACATTTTGCTCTGCGGTGATATAAATGCTAGAACTGGCAGAGAACAAGATTTTATTGATTTAGAGGAAATTACACACATACCTAAACAAATCCCTTTCTACCACACAAATATAACAACTCAGAGACAAAGTTACGACAGTGTAATTAACAAACATGGAAAACATGTTCTTCAGTTATGTAAAAGCCTCGGTCTGTACATTGTCAATGGCAGGACGAGAGGAGATTCCCTGGGCAGATTCACCTACTGCTCTGTACTGGGCAGTAGCGTAGTAGATTACGCCATCACAGACATGAATCCTGGACACATCAATGCTTTCACAGTCTTACCACAACTCCATTTATCAGATCACAGCCCAATAGTACTATACTTGAAAGAATCAACAAAAGAAAAAAACAAACAAGGCCAAAACAAAGATACCTGCCCTCTCCCAAAAAGATACAAATGGACAGAACAGAGCATCACTGATTACACAGCAGCTTTAGACTCTGATAAGATCCAGCTAATGCTGGATATGTTCCTTGAAACAAACTAGAAGACTAACAAAAAAGGCATAAACTTAGCAACAGATGATCTAAACAAAGTTTTCTACCAGCTGACAAAACTATCAAAACTAAGGACATTAAGAACCAAAAAATCGAAACAAAAACCAAAGAAAATGTGGTTTGACTCAGAATGTTTAATATCAAAGAAAGCCTTACGAAAATTGTCCAATAGAAAACACAGAAATCAAACTGACCAACAAGCTAGACTAGAATACCTCCAAGCACTTCAACAATATAAAAAATTAATTAGCACTAAAAAAAAGCAATACATGAAGTATGAATTCAGTAAAATGGAAAAAGCCATTAATGAAAATTCCTTTTGGAATCTTTGGAACAAATACAATACAGCCCATTCCAAAACTACCCCAATGAAAAATGGTAAAACGTGGAAAACATACTTTGAAGAGCTTTATAAAAATCCAGAATGCAATAATTTAAATTCAAACCAGGCCACAATCTCAGAAAAAATTACCAAATTAGAATCAGCAATAAAAAATAACCAGTGCCCTCTAGATTATCCCATCACCATAGAAGAGCTACAAGAAATACTCACAGCTCTTAAAAGTGGAAAAGCATGTGGAATCGACAATATTAAGAATGAAATGTTAAAACACAGTAGTCCTAAATTACAATTGGCCATCCTAAAACTGTACAATCTAGTGCTCAAAAGTGGAATTTTCCCTGTGCTCTGGAATAGAGGCCTCATTACACCAATATATAAAAGCGGTGATAAATTTGACCCTCATAACTACAGAGGTGTATGTGTGAACAGCAATATAGGCAAAGTCTTCTGTAGTTTACTAAACAAGAGATTATTAGCATATTTAATGGAACATAACGCACTATCAAAAGGCCAAATCGGCTTCTTACCGAAACACAGGACAACAGATCATATTTACACCTTGCATACACTCATTCAAAAACACGTCCATCGGCAAAACAAAGGAAAAATATTTGCTTGTTTCGTCGACCTTAAAAAAGCTTTTGATTCTGTTTGGCACAATGGACTATTCTTCCAATTACTCCAAACTGGTATAGGAGGAAAAGTCTACGATTTAATTAAATCCAAATATAATGATAACAAATGCGCAATTAAATTAGGGAACAAAAGAACAGAATTCTTCAAACAAGGACGTGGAGTGCATCAAGGCTGTAACTTATCCCCAACCCTCTTCAACATATACATCAACAACCTGGCCACAACCCTGGAACAATCATCAAATGTAGGATTAGAACTAAATAAGAAAGAAATAAAATTCCTTTTATACGCAGATGATTTAGTCTTGCTAGCTCCTACAGCACAAGGCTTACAAAAACACGTAAACTTATTAGAAGACTATTGTCAAAATTGGGCATTAGACATCAACATCAATAAAACCAAAATAATGATTTTTCAAAAAAAAGCCAGATCACACAAATCAAAATTCCACTTTACGTTTGGCGAGACTTTATTACAGCACACTATGGAATATAATTACTTAGGACTAATAATCAATGCATCTGGTAACTTTAACAAGACAATGAATGCACTAGTAGAAAAAGCAAGAAAAGTATATTTTACTATTAAACGATCAATAAACACACTCAACCCACCAATCCAAATTTGGCTAAAAATATTTAATTATGTAATTAAACCCATACTCTTGTATGGCAGTGAAGTATGGGGACCAATAATTTATCAAAAAGACACATTATGGGACACGACCCCTATAGAAAAATTTCATTTAGAATTTTGTAAAGAAATCTTAAAAGTACATCGCAATGCAGCCAATCTGGCGTGCAGAGCAGAGCTGGGCGAGTTTCCTCTCTCCCTCCCCATGATAAAACGAGCTTTAAAATTCCGCCATCACCTCTCACAGGCACATCCAGAGTCATACCACCACACAGCGTACCTCAGCAACCGCACACACCCAGAAACAGACCCCCTCAGACCCCTCACAGATAAATATCACCTTCAAACCACTGCCCAGTTCACCCTCTCACCATCACATACCACAGCCCAGTACACCATCTCACCATCACACACCACAGCCCAGTTCACCCTCTCACCATCACACACCACAGCCCAGTACACCATCTCACCATCACACACCACAGCCCAGTCCACCCTCTCACCAACACAGATCAGAATGATCCACAAAATATACCAAAAACAATATATCAACAATTGGACCAATGAAATTGCCACAGTTAATAAATTAGAATGCTACAGATTACTGAAGAGAGAATACAGACTAGCAGATTATCTGATCAAAATAAAAAACCCCAAAGAAAGAAATATCTTAACAATGTACAGACTGAGTGATCACAATTTAGAAATAGAAAAAGGGCGCCATAAAAAACACTGGAGGCCCAGAGAAGAACGAATATGTAATCAGTGCAGTTCAGGACAAATCGAAACTGAGCTACACTTTCTCTCCTCCTGTAACAGATATGAAGACCTCAGAGAAGATTATATCGGCTCAGTTGAAACTTATATCCCATCATTTAAAGAGAAAATGACTAAAACAGAAGATTTGTTACAAGTGTGTTTAGGAGAGACTCCAGAATGTGCTGAACTATCAGCTAAATATGTTTACAGCTGCCACAAACGCAGAGAACAGAGTGACACAGCGCCTTAAACTGATCCCATGTAAATGTATCATTTATTTATTTGATGTGTGTGTATTTTACAATGTGTATGTTTATGTATGTATATGTGTGTATGTACATATGAATATTTTATTATTTTAGTCTTTCTTTTATACATTATTTCCTTCTTCACCATTATCTTCATATTCTACTAGGATATTTTAATTGCTTTGGCAACAATTGTTCATTACAATTCATGCCAATAAAGTTATTTGAATTGAATTAAATTGAATTGAGAGAGAGAGAGAGAGAGAGAGAGAGAGAGAGAGAGAGAGAGAGAGAGAGAGAGAGAGACTCCACTGCGCTCCACTCCGCCCACTTCCTAGCCTACTGCACACACAGAGCAGCTAGGTCGCACCTTCTGTGTCCTCCTCGCTTTCTGTCACCGCGGACGCGTCCCGTTTTCCCCACACCGGCTGCCTTTTCCAGGCATGGCAGACGGCTTTACCCCATCATGGCAGTGCGACATTACACCCTCGACTTCAAGCTCTGTGGGCCAGGTAAAAGAAAGTCGTCACGGAATGAATGAACGAGGTAAAGAGGAGGCAGGCGGGCAGACTCATGCTGCTCCTCTGCAGCAGCAGAAACATGGGCCTCTGCTGGCCGTATTATATGGCGAATAACGTCTGCTGCAGCCTGGCGGCCTATTTTAGGGACAGCCGAGACAAAATAACCCGAGATATGCGTAGCGAGAGAGCGTAACCCCCCCTGTGTGTGTAGGTTTTGTGTGTTGACCTTACAGACGTAAGTTAGCATGTGTGCTAAGGCTATCCGTGCTTGTCCTCTGTCTGTCTGTCTGCTTCACTCCTTCTATCAGTTGCGGCTATGCATCATTATGCGTTGAATGGACAGACATGACTCTCGGCTAGCGGGCTAGCAAGCAAACTGTCTTCTGTATGATGTGAGGGACTTCGTCAGACTCAGCCTCCCTGCTCCAGCTGTCAAGCACTTCTCCATTTGCGGTTTCTAGGATGTGCTAATAAAGTAACCTAATTAGTGCTACCGTACTGTAAGTGCATTAAAGAAAGGAAGGCGAGAGTTGGCTTTGTGGCAACTAGCATACGAGGCTAAGCAGCTCTCTATTTTTAGATGCGAGTGTGTTGCCATAGGGATATGAGGGAAACACCTGTACAGGGCATGGTCACGGTCTGCTGTCGTATCACATTACTCTCTAAGGCTTCCTCTACTTCTTATTTCCTCAGTCTCTAGCATTTGGTTTGCCCACTAGCCCCGTTTCTTTGTGCTACCATATGCCTGGCACGTACGTGTCGAAGGGTCCTGGATGACTTCTGTTCTGGGGGACTTTGAAAGCTGCCTTAATATGGTTATCATAAACCGATATAAGATCGCACTGATTACCGGCAGTAGAGTGTAAAAGTCTATTTTAGTGATTTGACGTTAGTGATATGATGTATGAAGTGCCCAAATGCTTTAAAACCATTTCGTTTTATGAGTAGCCTAATGTTTTTAGCAAGCTTTATTTTCCTATGCAAACTGAGCCTGATGTTCTCAGAGAATGATGCAGCTTTGTGACTACCCAGTTCATCACATATGTGGTGTATTTTTATTTTATTTTATTTTATTTTTTTTGATGCAGTATTTTGTGCCACAGCTACAATGACACAGTACACAAGAGAGATTAGGCAGTATAAGATCAGAGACTGGGATTGCCATTGTGGTCAGTGAGGGAGGCAGCAGCGCTAAATCTCCCTCCTAAGAGAAACTTAAAGAGGTCACAGAATAGAAAGGCTGATTACTCTGTGGGCATGCTCTCCATCTGTTTATCATCTCTCATTCCAGCTGACCATGCTGAGACTGTGCGTGGCCTGCAGTCTATATTTCAAGAGCAGGAAATGACAGAGACTGTCCATGACACGGAGGGACATGGATACTTGGCCACCTTTGTTGGCAAGAATGGCAGGTATGTACCGTCACCCTCCAGTCAGCTGTCCATACCATGAAATCGTCTAATTTTTGGTTTAGAGTCTCAGAGGAATGAACTGAGACCTTTTTCAAAACCCAGAAGTTGTCATGATTTGTGGTCTCTGTAGATTTAAGAAAGGCAAGTCATTCAGGTCGAACTGGAACTACGCATTTGTGTAAACTTAACTGCTCATTTGTGTGACATATAAGCTCCCTCAAATCTACTTAAATATTTCATTTGGTTAAATGTTTAATTTCTCAGTGATGAGTCATGGGTCAGTGTAAAAGGTCAGGCGGAAATATTTTCAGCCATTCCACGGAGGGTTTTTCCTGTAACAGCTAAGCAAAATGTTGAAGCTAACTGTCCAGAGTTAGACAATAATGATGAGCGCATCCATGCCTGAGTGCACAAATGTCCCCCCTGGTCCCCCCACTGAAAACGCCAGGTGTGCTCCTGTGTTCAGACACCCTTTAGGATGACCATTGATTGGCCAGTTAAGTGCATCCTCTGTGCAACAATGGGCCCCGTTCGATGAGCGCAGGGCCATTTCAGTGGCTTTGTGAATCTGAGCTAAGGGCTTTGGCACACACTTCCTGTTTTGTGTGTGGCTCGTGGTAAACACAGCTGGTGGGCCTTTGTATTGGCCTAAGCTGGGATGAAGCTGGCCTGGGCAGGACCACATATCACTTTGGGGCAAAATTCTCTGTGCCCAGTACCATCTTTGCATAACAGTAGTGGTGGTTACTCTGGGTCTGATGCTCTGTCAGGACTCCAGCTTGCTACTGGCTATCGTTGTCGGAACAATATTAGCAGAAATTGCTGGATCAGATATTAGAGAGAAAAAAGGAATGAATCCTGTGGCCTCATAGAGTGTTTAAGTAGGTTAAGCATGATGCCCACTTTTAGATGCTCACCTTTAGTGAAGCGATTCAATTAAAAATAGCTTATGGTTTCAGTATTGGTATTTGTATTGGAAAAGAAAAAGTGGTATCTTATCATCTTTAGTGTGAAGAAAAGCCTAGGTCAGGTCTTTGTCTGTCTTAGGGGATATTTTACAAAGCAACAAAAGCCAGGGGTCATGGTAAATTTTATGTACTATTCTCATGGACCAGTGAATCTACATGTGCCTTCTGAGTTTCTGTATGTAATGTTGATAATGGTAAAATAGCGGAACCAAAATAGATTAAAAAATGTAGCCCAGAAACTTATGTCGAAACGGTTATAAAACAACATATTCATAACCATTTTGTGTAATAGCTTTCTTTGAGGTATGAATAGTTTGGTTGTTTGGTTCCCATCACCAATGTTTTGAACAATTTTGACTTGGCACATTTGTCTAGAATGATGCATTTCACATCAAACTGCTCTGAATGACTTTGTATACACCTTAATGACTTAATAATGCAGAAATTAAAAAAACAAAATCGGTGGAGTTCCCCTTGAAGCCAAAAATGAGGATTGTCCAACAAGAATGGCCCTTAGCTCTTCACCAATTGGACAGTCTTGACTTCTGGCTTAATTTACCTACCTGAGAAATTTTTCTTTGCAATATACCCCTGGTCTGTGATAAATGTGCTCAGCACGGTTACAGAGCCATGAATGGGCAAGCATCTTTCTTAAAAGTATATCTCTACCGCGCACTTTGGCTCAGTTTACACCTGGGATTAACATGCTTGTTGTGTGATCATAAGTGGACAGTGTTAAGTACAGGTGTAAACGAGGAGCAATGTGTCTCGGACATGCAATGTGATCCGATCACTCAAACCACCTTTGGAGGTGGTCAGGGGCGCATATTGATTATCTGTGTCATCACAGCACACGAAAGCAGCGGCGTTGTTTATTTTTTTGTCTCTTGTCCCGTTTGTTTTACAAGTTGCATTAGCAATCCATGACCTCTGAACTGTTTTAACGGTGCCTACATTTTCAAGAACAAGGACTTGTGGGACGTTTTTGTCTAACATTAAATGCAGTGAGAGACTGATGTAGTAAATGCTCACTACCCTTCCTCCAGTCATGAAATCCAATGTGGTGGCTGGAGAGGCATTTGAGAAACAGGGTAATGGCAGGTGTAAACGGCTATGCATCCCACTGTCTACTTATGAGCAGATCAATCCAGACAGATGTGAACAGGGCCATACTTATCAGAATGCTACCTCAATTGAATGTCACCTCTCAAAAAGACTTTGTATTTATATAATACTTTCAATGTTTATAATTTTTATCTTTCGAATCTGAAATATTTTGTTCTCTGCCAGGTTTGCTGTCCTGCGAGTGCACTCTCATGGTCTGGTGACTTTTGACCTGCAGTGTAGTGAAGGGGATGATATAGCACGAATGGACAATGTAAGTGATCAAGGCCAATAAGATGCTTGCTTCAGCACCTTCTCCACCTGTGTGGCTATAGTTTCCCTAGATTTTTTTTGTGTGGGAGATGGTGATGTGGGTCATACACTGGCCCTAACCTGTTGAGATTTTTCACCTTTGATGTTATTAATTGTGTTGTCATCCCAAATGCTTGTCCAAACATAATTCTAAGAAGAACATTAATAGAAAACTAATCCTAAACAACTTTCACTCCCTCTGTCTTAATAATAATTATGAGCAATCATATAGCATGAAGCTGCAGAGAGATTACGTCTCTGTTAGTGTCCTTATGTATAAATTGTTGCTGTTTGCTTTCTTTTTATCAGAGAGAATTGATTCTCTCTCTACTTGTTATTACTTATTCATCACACTGTTAATACTAATTAAGACAGAATGAATTGAACTTTATAGCTATTGAATGCACTGGAGAAGAAGCTGAAGACTGTACTGAATGGAGATATCCAAAGGGTCAAGAGGTGAGACTTGAAAGAGTTTATTTTAATTTCTATTTCTAAAGCTACATCATAAATTGCAAACTGTTGATGTGTGTCTGTATGTGTGTCTTTGGTCAGGCTCCCTGCACTTCGGCGAGGGGGAGAGGTGGACAGGTACTGGCCCACAGCTGATGGCAGGCTTGTGGAGTATGACATTGATGAAGTTGTGTATGAGAAAGATTCTCCTTACCAGAACATCAAAATCATGCACTCACAACAGTTTGGCAATATTCTCATCCTCAATGGGGACGTTAGTAAGTTGCACTGGCCGTCTTTTGCAAGTTCCTTAAATTGGTTTGTATGCAACCTATAGGAATGTGTGGACATGCTTATGTAATAACTCCTGTAGATCTGGCGGAGAGCGATTTGCCCTACACGCATGCCATCATGGGCAGCGGCAGGGAGTGCTATGCTGGGAAGGAGGTACTAATCCTGGGTGGAGGAGATGGAGGCATCCTTTGTGAAGCAGTGAAGCTCAAACCAAAGATGATCACCATGGTGGAAATATCCTTTTATACTTCCATTTACTTTAAGCAGGCAAAATACATGCAAGCACCAAGGCAGCATCTAGGGTGCTGACTTTGAGATATATAGAAGAACAACACACAACTGACATAAACTGTAACATGGACTTTTTACATAGTTTAACAGGTTTGAGTAGAACTTGATTTTGGCCATCTTCTCATGTTCCCATAGCAGCGTGTTCTGGAAATTTTGACAGCAATCGGACAGATATTTCTTAAGAATGACCCTAAAGGCTATTTTTGTACCAAGAAAGTAAATTTTTAAAAAATAATAATAAGTGTTTTTGATTGCTAAGTCGTGTACATAATCCACACTTATTTTAATCACTCTTTCGATGGCTGTAATATAGCATAATTTAAGACATGTAAGTAACTCACAGTGAGAGTTCGCCAGGCTAATATATAAATATATAAATTCTAAACAGTTCATTTTTTGAAGGTTTTATGCACAGATTAGTCAAAAACATACTATAAATATAATGTAAACAAAATATATTCATGTTCTATCACTCTAAAATTAGCTCCTCTTTTTTGGTCAAAAGAGAACATTACCAGTGTTTAACACAGCCTCTTTTGACTGTTCATGTTTATTTTGATGCATATATTTTTATGTCCAGTCATATGCAAAAGTTTGCGCACCTCTGGTGAGTTACATTTTATTGATTCTCTAAGTTAAAATAAGTTAACACATCCTCTACAGAGGACACACTTCTGCACATTTTAGTGCACAATTACTGTTCATAAATACACATAAACAAAAAATGTAGCCTGTGGAAGTTATAGCACCACTTATATTTTATTTTTCCCTAGTATGGTACTCAGCAAAAAATAGAAATTTAAGACATTTAAGTGTGTTTCCTGTAAAAGATGTGTTATTTTCTCTTTGTAAATCAACAAAATATGTAATTTGAGCGGGGTGTTCAAACTTTTGCATACAACTGTATTCAGCTCAAACCACAGAATGGTGCTGAATTAATTGTTTTTGCATTGATAATACCTGTTACATTTAACCCTGTCTGTGGGGTAAGTTGTAACATTTTCGCTTGTGTCACTTTTGGCTGAATTGTTCACGAATGATAGGCACTAAAAACAATGTTCACGTTTTTCACTTGAAGCAGTGCAGAATGTTTGTACCAAAAAATCTTGCTCTTAAAATTATGTAGCAAAAAGTAAAATGTGTTAGGTTGTGCCCCACTCTGCCCTGTATTTTTCAAAGAAGTGTAACTAGGATTTTGCTACTTTTAACATATTTCACATTCATAGATAAAGTACTTCTTCTTTTTCATCCCCTAACTCATTTGCAGTTGAAAGAATACATTATGTTTGCTTTCCTTAATGAAGCATGTACATTGACCAGCTGGTGATTGACGGATGTCGGAGGCACATGAGGAAGACTTGTGGGAATGTACTGGATAACTTGAAAGGGGACTGCTATGAGGTAAGGAGGACAGATGCTTTGAAAGATGGATTTTTTAATTCATTGTTTTTGATAATTAATTCAACTGGATGTTGTTAGAAATGTGCCATATTTATTGTGTTTGATGATAAGTAGGCAAGCGAAGTTTTCATTGTTCAGTTGCTGACCTTAAATATTAAATATTACACGGGAAGGCCTGTTTATTAAGCTCAGCTCAGGTTCTTTGTTGTATTGTTTGTATTTATCAAAATCCGCATTCTTGACACATGACCACATTCACACCTCCCCATGCCACTGTGAATATTTACTGTGTATTTGACCTTGTAAACAGAAACTTGCTTTCCTGCTTGTGAAACAGCATTCAGTCAATTTGTGGAAGTTCTTGATGTTCCAATCCTAAGGAGTGTTTCAGAACTAACAGTCGGTTGGTCTTATGCAATGTGTATTACAAAAAAGTGTTATGTTATAACTTAAACAGTCATAATTGTTTCTCTTTTTCTGTCTCGGCCACTCACTCCCAATCATAGGTTCTGGTACAGGACTGTGTTCCGGTCCTTAAAAAGTTTGGAGAAGAGGGAAGGACGTTTGATTACGTCATTAATGACCTAACAGCAGTCCCTATCTCTACAGCACCTGAAGAAGGTTGGTGTTGATATTTATGCTCTTTTTGCACATAGGCCTCATATCATCCAAGCCACAAGAACATTCAAATTGTAAAATTAAGCAATAATTTCAGCCTTGTCTGCAATACAGTTTGATGTATTCTCAGTTGTTCTCAGTGTGACGAGCATTTTATAAATTGATGAATTAAAACATCTTTTCAGAGTCAACGTGGGAATTTCTGAGGCTCATTCTTGACCTATCAATCAAAGTTCTCCGACCTAATGGGAAGTACTACACACAGGTGAGAGGCTTACTCAGAGGTTATTGTGGATGACTGCTGTTTGTGTTTTTTGTTTTTCTTTCTTCTGAAATTACTAACCTCTTCTGATGCTCTTCCGGCAGGGTAACTGTGTGAACCTCACTGAGGCGCTTAGTGAGTATGAGAAGCTGCTGGGAAGGCTTTCATGCAAAGTTGACTTCTCCAAAGAAGTGGTGTGTGTTCCTTCCTACATGGAGCTGTATCCTTTGAAATAATCTCCTATGCCACAGTCGCTTGTATTTGCCACATGAATATGAGCCGGGATGATTTCTGAACAATTATACATCAGATGGCATGCATACTGCGTCATTATTAGTCCTGCACATTAGCCTAAAGGAATTATGGGTGGGAAAATGGTTGATCCTTGGATGTATTGATTCTGTTTCGAAAGATTCTGAACCAATTTACAAAACTGCATATGTGGATTTTTATGTAGGCTCTGCATTTCCCCCTACTGTAAACTAAATTCATGTGCGGCCAGAGACTTTATAAAGTAGGATACTTTTGCGCAGCTCAGCCTGAAGTAAGTAAGTAAGTAAGTAAAGTTTATTTATATAGCGCTTTTTACAACAGGTGTTGTCACAAAGCAGCTTTACAAGGAATTCAGGGTCCAAGCCCCCATGAGCAAGCCAGTAGCGACAGTGGCAAGGAAAAACTCCCTAGGAACAGGAAGAAACCTTGAGAGGAACCAAGACTCAGAAGGGGAACCCATTCTCCTCTGGTCGACACCGGATAGTAAACATTGTTAGTACAAAAACGGAAAACAGGTGGAGCAGTGATTAATTTGATTAGTTTAGTTCATGCAGCAGCAGCAGCGGCAGCATCAGCATCATTGGGGTCAGGTTGTGAGGGTGAGGTTTGCACGGCGTAGTACAGCATGGAGCTTGATGGTGGTCAAGCCGGTCCAGAGGGCTGGCGAGCAGTGGCAGTGGATGAAGGAAGAAAAAACGTAGGGTGTCACTTATGCATGCACGTTTGCCACTATAATTTGGTGACAAATTTAACCCATATATAGGAAAAGGCTTGAAACGATAGTAAACGTTACCTACACAAGAATGCAGCCTTTTTAACAGCCAGCTCAGGAGATGCTAACCAGCTAACAAGCTAATCCAGTAATATTCAGATTTAGACTTTTTAACTAGAAATGTTTACTGAAATATTAACTGTAAAGCTGCAACATAGAAAGTAAAAAGCATGGTGTGGATTTCTAGAGTACTACTGTCTGAAGAAAATTATCAGCATTTTTCATCCTGATGGTTCAGACGAGTTATAAAATTATGAAAATATACTTAAAGGTTGTCCACGGGTATCTGTAGCTGGATTCCACAGTGACACCGCTGTAACTACAGGAAACACGTATTTTTTTTCTAAATATGTAAGCATGTGAATGCGACTCACTAGTTTACTCCAACAGATCACGTGTGGCAAGCTAAAGTTTAACTGGGGGGTGGCACTATCAGCATGCAGATTGCTTTTGTGTGTGTCATTTAAAGAGAAGAAACAGCCATGACTGCACTATAAAAATATAACATTTTGAAGTCAACATTCAAAATGTTATATTGTTTAATATGTGATTTATATGATGAAAGCCTTTCAATAAATTAGTTAGCATATGTTACAATATAAAAACAATATAATGTATGCTACAGAAATCAACAATTGAGATTCATCAAAAAATTTTTATGATCTCACCTTGGCGCCGAGAATTGAAATCAAATCGAATCATTAGGTGCTCAGAGATTCCCACCTCTAAAAGCAGTAGCAGTGGAATTAATTGATATAAAACCTTTACATCATGTGGAGGATTTTTTAATTATAAAGAGGTTCTCCACACTCACATCTCATTTACATAAATGGTTCATTAAAGAACTGTTTAGTTATCAATGGAAGTCTTTCCCAATCCTGATCTTGGAGACACACTGCTCAGGACATTTTAGTGTTTTCCCTGCTCTCAGCACAATTGGTCAACTTATCAGTTCACTACCAGCCACTTTCTAAGTTGAAGTGGAAGTGTTACAGCAGGAAGAGCATTACAATGTGCAGGGAAGGGGATTCTCCAGGACCACATTTGGGTTAGATGGCTTTATGGAACCAAAAATGGTTCTTCTGTGGCATTGCTCCAAATAATCTTTTTTGGCACCTTTTGTTTTTAAGAGTGTACATGTACTGCATGGACAGTCAGGGCGTTGTCAAGTTACCAGGTCTGAGACAAAAATACCTCACCCCTCCCACCAACATCCTCCCATAGTAACCCATACAAACATAAACGCACCTCAGCCTAGAACAATGCTCAGTTACCATGTGCAAACATTACACATGGCAGTAAATTACACATGAAATTATAGACTCATCACAATTATAAAGGGTGCTCTTCCACACAGTGACACGGCATCTGAGTTTAAGAGCAGTGTGACAGAAAAGCGTTCTGACACAGTGCCACTCAGTGGTCAAACTAGCTAACTGCACTAAATGTTGTTGGATCAGAGTGTTTCACTGAGGAACAAACTTTGTCATTACGAACAGCTACATATCTGTGATGAAATATAAACTGATTTAACTACTGAAGTTTGGTTATTATTTTATTGACTAGGCATCTGTAAATTGTAATATTAGTGTTATAGATTGATCATTAGGTGTTCAAAACATAAACCACACATTCCTCACATTTTCATGCTTTTGCTCTTTTTTATCATCTTTCTTTTGTTTAGCACCTGACATATCATGCATTCTGTATATATTCACTGGTGATGGTAGGAAATTTCTTTGATGTTCCAAATCTAGCAAAACTAAACTACTTTCGTCAAATAACAGGGAAGATGACAGTCAACCTGAAATTACAAAAAACAAGAATAAAGACAAGAATAAACAAATTTTCCTTTACTTTTTGTATCTTGGGAGGTAAATTAAAGTGGAATTTCACCAATTTTCATTTACTGATTTTTCACAAATTAAATTAAATCCCCTGTCAACATGGTTTCAAATATTACAATTTTTGCTTTAATAGTAAAGATATGCCATGGAAAAAGCATTTACCAGTGTTATATTAAAAAAATTATACATAATACAAATTAATACTAGATAAATACTCCAATTTATCTACTCTTTACACTCTTATTGTGCCCCATATTTGAAAACTTAGCAGCACTAATGTTATATCCATAACCTATTGGACACAGTGGAGAAATTTCTTGTGTGCCTTATCGTGCGCCATGCCTGTGTAGTACAGTTTAGGGGAAATGCCTCGATGTGTTTCCCAGGCCTGGTCCTGGAGATGCACTGCTCTGCATATTTTAGTTTTCCCTGCTCCCTGCTGTTTCAACTTTTTATTCTTACATGAGAAGCACTGTTAACAAGTTTAGAAAAGCTTAAATGACCTACTTGCTCTGAGTTTTGGCTGAGACTCCGGGCAGCAGGAGGGCAGTCACTTTATAAGAGGGAGAAAACGTGAGTAGCCGGTGTATACACACTGCTAACTCTGATTGATACTTTGGAAGATTTGGCATCACCTGTGCCAAATTTAGTTCTGCCCAGCTCAGATCGTTTGAGTGGGCAAGTTACTCTACAATGAACCATTTAAGATCATACTTTTTTTACATCTCAGTGACTGCATTACGCAAACATTTTGAAAATCTGTGGAATTCTGCATTAAAACCCAGTCCAGGGCCCAGAAAGCATACCTGGTTGCTCCCCTTTTTGATGGCACTGTGGTCATTTACTAAAGCACTAAATTACTCAGTACAAGTATAAGCTCTCATCTGTTGGAATTCATCCTTAATGAATTGACTCAGGTGGGTGTTCTACACCATCTGGAAGAAGTAATGCCCCTACCCCTCCGAGCCCAGCCTGCCGGAATGTGAAGACTCACCCTCCGATGCACTGAGGGGAGACATGCACGCATCTCTCCATGCACTGTTTTTACTGTCCCTCCACGCCCCAATAAACATCCCCTCCTTTTTTTTAGACACACGTTTCTTATTTTATGTGTAAAATCACACAGAGATTGTATTTTTGTTTTGTTTTGTTTTAATGGTTTGTTTGTTTGTGGGGTTGTTCTGCTTGGACCCTCCAGGGAGCGCTGTGGTGCAGTGTGTGAGTGGAACGCTGCTGATGACACTGAAGCCTGGAGGGTGACTCAGCATCCTCTCTGCCTCCTGCCTCTGAAGACGAGCTGTCTCCTAGTTGAGAAAATAGCAGACAACTAGCTTTCAGATTCTGATTTTATGATAAATTATGTATTTTACTGTAGCTCCACTGATGTTCGTGAGTTTTGATTTTTTGGCTTCCTTTTGTTACTGTGGTTTGAGTGTGATTTGACCCACGGGAAGTTTAATAACAGTGTTGCATTCTGGGTTGCTGGGATTGTACCGGGATGGTCCTACCTATCCAAATAGAAGCGTCTAAATATGTTTTAAAAGGGAAAAAAGATTCCTGCAGTGGCAGATTTCATGCTTGTTTTATTTTGCTAAACTGTGAATGGTTTTTTTTTATATAATTAGAGCCTTCAAAATATGAAAGTTTTTACATTTCTCATTTGAATTTTCTTTGACGGATGTGCTTGAAAGAAAGGTTTTTACTGAATGTAGTTCACATTTATTTGCATTCATGCCTTTGATCCATATTAAGGTGCTTCGTTGATATTATTTATTTGATTTTGTTTCACCAAATACCAGTAATCCCGCCCTGAAAATACCTTCTGTTCATGAGAGTGGTAAACAACTATTAAAGCAACTTGGAGAGAAAATGTCCTGGTCTCAGGCTTGTCTCTTCATTGAACACAGATATGATGTATATGGGGGGCATTGCAATTGCAAAAAAGTAACGATTCATTGTAGCTTCCAATGACAAAAGGGGTCCATATCAGGGAAAACCAAAATATCCAATTTTTTTTTTTTAAATAAAATTGTTAAATGTAATATGTAAACAGTGTTAAAGTTTAAAAACCTACCGTTCACAGGCCATATATGGACAGAAAGCTACCAAATCATCCTATTTTGAATTTACACATATCTGTCTATTCAGCCTACAGCACTTTAGCTCCGCCCTTACGTGACGAAGTTATAAGGAGTGTTTTAGTCCAGACAGCTTTTTGAAACAAGGCACAATGCAGGACAGCCAATCAGAACAGGGCCTGTATTGATGAAGCTTCTCAAAGTAGGAGTCATGTTCCTGTCACAAAAGTCATAGTAAATAAGAGAGGAACACAGATTAGCACAAATAACGTGCACATCTTCGACCGAAACACAACTTATTTACACATTTAAAGAGTCCGGCGCTCCCGTGGTGCTCTGCGCGTCGACGCTCTGCATGACCACACCTCCCGCACATCCACTGCGCAGTGCTCCGACCTCTTATTGATGTTTGTACAGCTGCTTTAGGTCTATGGATTATGGGTCTCGGACTAAATTGCGGTGCCAGTGGTGAATCTCCATTGGAAATTCTTTTTAGTGTAGGATTAGGATTAATCTGCAGCTGGAAATATAGCCCTTAGTGTGTTATTGTTCTGAGTACCTTCACAGCGCACGGTAACGGTCACAGCGCAGTCCCTTATATTGAAGCGTGAGTGTAGACAACTCGATGTTCATGACCATAATGCAGCTTTATTTTGACTCTTTGCTCTTATTTCTTTAATCCTAAACCATACACCACCTACTGATGGTGAACACTAAAGCATACTAACTCACCCACAACAGGGAACAATAAACACAACCAACACGTAAACACATCTCCAACTACAAACATAAACGCACCTCAGCCTAGAACAATGCACAGCTACCATGTGCAAACATTACACATGGCAGTAAATTACACATGAAATTATAGACTCATCACAATTATAAAGGGTGCTCTTCCACACAGTGACACGGCATCTGAGTTTAAGAGCAGTGTGACAGAAAAGCGTTCTGACACAGTGCCACTCAGTGGTCAAACTAGCTAACTGCACTAAATGTTGTTGGATCAGAGTGTTTCACTGAGGAACAAACTTTGTCATTACGAACAGCTACATATCTGTGATGGAATATAAACTGATTTAACTACTGAAGTTTGGTTATTATTTTATTGACTAGGCATCTGTAAATTGTAATATTAGTGTTATAGATTGATCATTAGGTTTATAAAACATAAACCACACATTCCTCACATTTTCATGCCTTTGCTCTTTTTTATCGTCTTTCTTTTGTTTAGCACCTGACATATCATGCATTCTGTATATATTCACTGGTGATGGTAGGAAATTTCTTTGATGTTCCAAATCTAGCAAAACTAAACTACTTTCGTCAAATAATAGGGAAGATGACAGTCAACCTGAAATTACAAAAAACAAGAATAAAGACAAGAATAAACAAATTTTCCTTTACTTTTTGTATCTTGGGAGGTAAATTAAAGTGGAATTTCACCAATTTTAATTTACTGAGTTTTTACAAATTCTGCTTTATTAAATCCCCTGTCAGCATGGTTTCAAATATTAAAATTGCTTTAATAGTAAAGATATGCCATGGAAAAAGCGTTTACCAGTGTTATATTAAAAAAATTATACATAATACAAATTAATACTAGATAAATACTCCAAAAATTCAGAGCTGCTGCCTGCTCTCAACTGCATGTCAGAACGCAAAATGATTGACAGTGGCGTCTCCCGGCAGCGTAAACAGCCTGGCTTCGGTTTCAGTGGCAGTGGCTTACATTGATGACAGGTATACCACAGACTTATTGTGCCCCATATTTGTAAGCTTAGCAGCACTAATGTTATATCCATAACCTATTGGACACGATGGAGAAATTTCTTGTGTGCCTTATCGTGCGCCATGCCTGTGTAGTACAGTTTAGGGGAAATACTGTGAGCCTCGATGTGTGTCCCAGGCCTGGTCCTGGAGACGCACTGCTCTGCATATTTTAGTGTTTTCCCTGCTCCCTGCTGTTTCAACTTTTTGTTCTTACATGACAGACACAACATAGCATAATAAACACAACCAACACGTAAACACATCTCCAACTAACAAACCGACTACAACAAATGTGTTTTTTAACACTAGGGGAGGGGGCGCGTGCAGTCGCTACTTTGCATGCCACACCCCTTGAGTTCTCCATGAAACACGGAGTCCGTGCTCTGACGCCACAATATTGTATGTGCCAGATGTGAGCTGTGTCCCAATTCAGGGGCTGCATCCTTCGGAGGCTGCATTTGAAGGCCAACTGCGTCACAGCGGCGCGACTAGGCTGTCCCATTTGAAAGGCTCCTTCATATGTGGCAGCAAAGGACCCATTGGGTGGATCCTATGCCAACCAACATATCCCGAGGTCCATTGCGTGCTGGCGGAGATTCAAGAACATGGCAGCATCAGCAGAGAAGCGAACGACTGCTGAAGAGTTCACTGGGTTTAAACCGAGGCGAATAGCTGGGAATACGAATGTAAAAAAAAACTCTCTCATCAGTGAAGCATCTCCAGCTCTAATAAATGTTAAAAAAATTTAAAGTTTCTGGCTTCTTTAAAAAACTTTAAAAGAACTTGAAAAGAACAGGAGCGGCGTTTCGTGACGCAGCAGTAAGGGCGGGAACAGCGGTGCTGTGACGCAAACAGAAAACCATCTCATTTCGGTTCACGCGTCTAAGCAGCCTTCAAAGGACATGCCTTCGTAGACCGTGTCCTTCAAAGGATCCAGCCCCTGAATTGGGACACACTGAGAGTCTACCACCCATCCTGGAAACATCCAAGGAAAACACAAACGTGTGACATCCATGATTACCCATAAAACAGGATTAGAGAAATGTATGTGCCGTCTTACAAACAGCCACCAGGGAAAGCTTTTTTTAAGACACAAATAGAGATAAAATAAACACTGACACATTATTGCTCTTAAAAAAATGACGCTACATAACAAAAAAATAAGACGCAGAAAACTTTACGCTTTAAAGGCGAATGTTCTTTTATTGAACAGGAAGGGATCACCGCCTCTCAGTGCTGCTCAAACAGCCGAGACAGCAGGCAGATCACTTCTAGCCATAGACTTTCACCTGATGGTAGCCCAGCACAGAACAGCACAAACAAAGCGAACACATCTTTTAGCTAACAGCAACAACTTATTTAGAATAAAAGTCTCTCCTACCATGAACACAGCGCTCCCCAAGAGCCTCCTCACACGGCCACTCTGCGTAGCCACGCCTACTGCACACCCACAGCAAACCAGTAGCTGAATGCTACATAGCTCACCTTCAAAGTGAGCCATCCCAGCAACCTCACAGAGTTCAAGAGGCCTTGGGGTGCACTGGGAGACACTGCTCCCTAGTCCATGGTCCCTTCGCAGCAGAGGTTTTGGAACGTCCACTGTCCCGGAAAACACACATGCTGCAGCAGAGACACTGAGCGCTAAGTTCTCCACCCCAAGCGAGGTTCTACTCTTATCTTGCACTATGATGGCTTAAAGGCTAGTCGGTGTGGCCAACTGCACAAGCCATCCCTGCTTCTCTGGCAGCAGCACATCCAGGGTCCGGTCTTCCTGCGCTGCCTTCTCAAATGCGAGATATGCTTGCTGAACTATTGTATTCAGCTCCAACGCCAGCTCAAAGCTATGGTCAATGTTGCCAGGGTGCTATGCTGCTTCCCTGGCAGATCCTCACCAGCCACCATCCTGCATCCTTGCTTCTGCCTCTTTTGCTGTCCTCCTACCGGGCTTTGCTGATGAGCTTTGCCGCGGTGCCTCTTCTACTACACATCCTCACCACGCTGCTTATCTTTCTGCAGTCCTTGCCCTCGTTTTATCTACCGTTCACCCTCGAGTTTGTGTAAGCACCATTCCTCTCCAGGCTGCTGTAGGGTGCTATTCCATTTTTGACACCAGTGTGGCATCAGTGAAAAAGAAGACGTAGGAAACATTGTCGTTTTAAGGCCACATGCAGCAAGGGACAACTTGTGCTTAGCACTGCTGAAATGGCCAAGATAGCAGGCAGGACACTTAGCTACACACTTTCATTTGGGAACAGGCACTAACACCGCATCAACTACCCCACAGGGGCACAGAATGGCACAAACAACATGTGCACATCTAATTTATAATAAAAGTCTCTCCAACTGCAAACGCGGTGCTTCCCAAGAGCCTCCTTGCACAGTCGCTCTGCATGGCCATGCCTCCCACGCGCCCACAGCAAAACAAGCCAGTAGCAGAATACGCTACAATATTTCATACATGTGGTGTTTTTTTTTCTTAATAAAATTCATGATAGTATTATAAACCGTGAAAAAGGGTTAGATAATAATTGCGATATTAAATTTTTATAAAAGGCACCAGTAACATAATATCTAAACATATACTATTATTTATTTGGTTGGTGTTTAGATTTGTTATTTTATGTCAGAAGAGCCCTCTGCTGATTTGTATTAAAGATTAGCTGCTATTCAGCAGTCTCATGTACGACTAATTCAGAATGTGGACCAGTATTGACCAAACGTGGCTCGAATTTGACGGAACGCTTCGCTGTGGCGGGATGGGGGAAGCCTCTGATTAAAATGGTGGGGCAAATCTGGGGGTGGCGGTGGTGGGGTTTGAGACTTTTCGCACGTCACCACACCATTACGTCATCCTTTTTCAGCGGCTGCACGTCTTTGCGGACCTAAACGAACTGCTTTATGGGAAACGTAGTTTTATTTGCTGTAGAGCGTCGTTCAGGTCCACAGTACTCCTTCAGCGATTTGCTGCGTCTACCCACAATGCAACACTGAAAAAAAAAAACATATTCGTGGGTGGAGACT